GAAACAGAATTTCGTCTTTGGGTGGCAAAATGGCAGCGTGAAACAGAAGCAGGACTTGAAGTGCCCAACGATCTTTCCAAGATTATTAATGTCTGTGACATCGATTTGTACCCATCAATCAATATGTTGTTGAGAATTTTAATAACTCTGCCAGTTAGTGCAGCAATAGCAGAACGTTCCTTTTCAACTCTTCGACGTCTCAAAATTTGGCTTAGAGCAACTCAAAATCAAGAACGATTAAATGGACTCGCATTATTAAACATTCATCGAGAAATTGATTTGGATGTTGAAAAAATCATTGACAGATTTGCCAAAGTTTCTAAAAAACGCATTACATTTACTATTTAAAGATTTTGAATACTTGAATTATTTATGTATTGTTCATTATGAAAGAATAAAAAATGAGAAAACTAGCATTAAAAACCCCAGTTTTTTTTTCCAAAATTAATATGTAAAAAAAAAAATTTGTGGGGGGGGAGGACCTGAGTCTATGACCTCCCCCCCCCAAGAAAAATTTCTGGTTAACTGCAAGGCACCGTTGCAAGAGAGCGGGGGGTATTTCTTACAATTTTTTTTATGCAATAACACTTTTTATCTTTGCGGACTGTATAAAATGTTTGTAACTTTTGAAAAACATGAAATGAATGATCCTGTAACCTTTAGATAGAATTATTATTCAGATTCTATATAAAATATTAATTATCAGGCGAGATACAGTTTGCACTTGTTTAGTTAAATGAGACTATGTGTAATATAAATTAGACTATACTTATTATATCAGGTATTGTAATAATTAGACCAAATTATTAATGTTTTAATAATGGCAAGCGTGCAATACTTTTTATATTTAATGTAATGGAGACTTTCTATATAGTTCGTACTTATTTTTAACGTATTGTATTAACTAATTTATACACGAAAGTAAACAACGCTGTATCACCTGATAATTAACATTTTACAGTGAGGTCAGGAACTGTATGAATTAATGATTCACTTCTATAGCAGTTATTAACACCTTTTTTTTATTAATCTTATGTAAATTGTCACAACAAATATTTCAGTTCAATTCTGATGGGAAAAACTTTGCGTAAGCAGCTCCAAATTTCTCAATGTTTGCAAAGAGAATGAATCTAAGCTTATTGGTATATTTCTTATCACAACTAAGTTTTGATTCATCACTGAATTCTCTCCAAACTCTGTTTGAGTTTTTGGAAAAAAAGAGAGCCGGACTGGGTACATTATCCCGCATGTACTGCCACACATCCGAGAGTAAACTGAATGCCTCGTAGGGGGTGATGAGGGGGAGGACTTCATCAATGTAGGAGAGGGGGGGAGGTAAAAGTTGTCCCATTGCCATGATCGTAATGAGGCGTTGGCTCATCAGGAGTTCCTTGGGACAGTTTCTCGTCGTCTTTTCCTGGCTGCTGCACCAGAATGTCAAGAGTACAGCCATAATGGCTCTTAAAAGCACACTGCAATAGCAGAGAGAAGGATGCACGGATGCGATCAGGGAGAGCAAATCCCACAGCAGGCAGTTCTCTTCAAACATCCTTTTAATGTGTAAATCCCTTTCCACCGTCACCTGAAAATAACACCTAAAATTAATTTTTTTTGTTTCAGCACACTTTGAAAGTCATAAATTTCGGTATTGAAGAAAATTTGTCATGATTTTTATTTATTTTTTTTAAAAAAAAAATCATGGATTTAGGTCCCCCAAAAGATTCTAATTTTTAAAATGAAATTTACCCATCCTCCAATTTCATGGTGTACCGAATATCTGAATTTGTAACAAAATCTCCACTCATAATAAAAAATTTTAAAATAGAAAATATTTTTATTGTGTTCTTTAAAAATTGCGGTGTTCTGTCAAAAAATAATTAAAAAAAATATCATTTCTAGAGCAAATTATCTTTTAAACTTCTGTGATTTCGGAATTTTTGTTATTTATTTATTTTTTTAGCAATTAAAATTCTAGCTGAAGCAAGCCAGTCATTTTTTTTAAATTCCGAAATGAGAACAGAAAAATCGGGAGTATTTCTTTCGTCTCCGATACACAAGAAAAGTATCTTTAGAATATAATTCTGCAGGAAAAGATTTATTTGCTTTCGTATTTTGTCCCGCTATTTTATTGCTTCAACTCTTTCTTTACACTGTTTTTTAAATTTAAAATAAATATGGACATGCAGAGTTATACCTATCATTTCAATGAATATTATTATAATGCTTTTTTTAAATTTAGTGTAGTGTTTTTGACAGAGAAAATAATAACTTCGTCAAGTCATGAAAAATTCTTGGAATGAGTAATGTATTTGAAAATGTAGTAGGTACCCTGTAAGAAGAAGGCCCTATATTTTATAATCACTGTTCACAGCTAATATAGGACCCATATTAAAAAAAATCTAGACACACACGTCCCTCGGTGCATAGGACACATTGGGCCAATTTAGAGTCCAAGGAAAATTTGTAGCTAGAGTAGTCAGGGTGCGTAGCCAAATTTTTCAACAAAGAATAAGCACTTTTTAAAATATTTGTAAGCACTTTTTAAAATATTTCATAAGTAGACAGAGTTGGTAAGTTTTTGACTAGGACTGGGCTATAAATCGATATATCGCGACATATAGATTTAACGCCTACATCGGCAGGCGATGCATCAGAAATCTGATTTAAACGGTCGAGTAAAGAAGATGAACAATATAGCGATACACGATATAGCGATACAAGACACGCAAGGATCTCTTACATTCCGATGCCAACTCGCGCTGGGGAAGACTATGTTCGTATCATTATATTGAAACGGCCTTGATTGATGAGCGGTAGAATCAGTTTTGAGAACATATATCGTGATCTCGCATGTTCGTTTCCGCACCTCTTAGTTTTTTTTTCTTCTTTGTCGCGACTTGATATCGTTTCTTGCAGATTATTTTCAGTGGGACTGACTTTGTGATCGCCGTCGTTACCTTGTTCTGAACGTAATCTATTATTGAAAAGAATATATAAAGAAGTGTTTCTTAATTAATTAGGTAAATTTTTTTTTGAAACAAAACTTTCTTTTTTATTTTTAAATGTGAAAATTAATTTTGATATTATATGTTTAAGTATTATTTTACATTATTGAATTTATTACAAACGGAAATCTAATTTAAGGTGCCCATAAAGAATTAAATTAAAAAGTAATTAAATTTGTTAGGCTATTTTTTACTTTATTTTAATTTATTAAAAACTTTTTGGATAAACTAATAATTTAATGGGTTTTTATTACTGATTTTAAATTTATAAATCTTCAGTTGTTTTCATTTTTATAAATAAAATTATAACAAAACTTATTTTTCCTCTTTTGGATTTGGACATAAGTCAATCAACTTTGTTTATTCAAAAAAATTAGTAATGTTTGCGATTGCGACTTCTTTTTTTAAAATCATTTAGCACTTCGTTTTATTAAAGAGTATAATCGTGTTTTTTAATTTTCTTTCAATATTGTCAGTTGAATATATTATCGAATATCACAATTCTTTTGTTTTTATTTTTAAGAAATTAAACCTTACTTTGTTTTTCGTTCATAATTAGGTCATTATTCAATTTAATTTAATTATTTATCTGAAATAATAACAATAAAAAATACTGTTTTAAAAGCGCTTTTTTTTTCTAAAATTTATTTAGCACGTTGTTTTAAACATACAAATAATTTTTAACGAACTTATTTTTTAAATTTTCTTTCTATATTGTTAGGTAAATATATTGATAAATTTCAATTTTATTTATTTTTTTATTATTTATCTTTAAACTAAGAAATCTTTCGTTATTTGCGAGATCATTTTTAGAAAATATAACATTAATATCTTTCTTAAGCCAAACATGTACGTCAAATTCATAAATTGATTTAAATCAATCCGAGTATGAAGTTTTGATAGAAATCTGACTTTCTGCGCCTTACAAGTAAATGAATTTCAAAATTACTATATCGCGATGCAAAACTGACGATGCATCACGATATAAAATTTCTTATATCGCCTAGTCCTATTTTTGACAATTGATGGTTTTATTTACAGGGACGAAGTGTGAATGGCGCATCACAAACGATGAAGAGAAATGAAATTTTTTATCGCTAATAGAGAAAAAAAATTTCCAATGTTTAGTGGGTCCCCATAATCGGCAAAAATTCGAGAGATTTTTCCATTCTATTACAGAGAGCGAATAATGCAGTCTGAAATTGAGAATCTCTAGCAAAATGCAGCAGGGTTACCCATGAGAGTCAAAAATCCTTACCACTGAATCCAGCTCAGTATACGCAAGTGCCGACCTGCAAGTATTTCATCAAATATGTAAAACAAATGGTGTTTTCATACACTACAGACCGGCGGTACGCCGAAATAGATTGGGGATGAATTAATTGTGAAAACGTTGAATAGGACAATGTCTTTTTGCATAATCTGTGGCGAAAATCAACATAGTTAAGAAAAATATCGCATTTCGGAAAAGGGAAAATTAAGAACTTTTTAAAAACACCCATGGAAAAAAGGCACCTTTAAGGGCTTTAAAAAAACGAAAATAAGCACTTTTTAAAAACGCTACGCATCCTGGTAGTTATACATACAATATAACCTTTCTAAAACGTGGTGACAAAAAAAAAAAACGATTTTTAAAATAATGCGCATTTTAAAACAAAATCATGTTGAGACCTTTAGGTAGTCTTCGTCCGGCCAGGGCAACCCATTGAACATGACATCTGGTGAGACAAGTTCAACCATGAGAAGGGCAACAATTTTCATTCCTGGTATGAGGTTTCTTTCTTGTGGCTGCTCATCCAGGGGAAATCTCCAGGAGGCTTTGCAACAAGATTGTATGACATCGAGGGCGACCTGCTTATTCAAGAGTACGACGTCTTTATCGAACTTTGAATCGCTGACACTCACTCTCAGGCCCGAACCTATGATTCCCGAATGAAATACAGAAGAATGACTCTGGGGTAGGGTGATGGCAGACATGTACTTAGTATTCTCCATCAGGAGATTCGTCTTGTTGACGTTCACCGAAACGTTCGTCTTGACGCTCGAACCGAACAGAGAACAATACTTCTTATCGATGAAACATTCCAAGAGCATTCGAAGCACCGCGTGTTGAGCGGTAGATTGCTGACACAAATTTGCCAGAAGACTTTTTACATTGTTAATGAGTGTGATTTTTATGACTAAACTTAAATTCTGTCTGCCAAGCAAATGGAAGAAATAACTCACAACACAGCTGCAGACAGTGAAGAGCGAGCTCATAGGCATCTGTTTGGGATTGACGCAGATAGAAAGCAATTCCACCACGACATCCGAATAATCGGTATTCCTACTATTTATTTGTCCGGCAAGAACTTCCAAATTCGGGGTCATCCCTTCTGTGATCAGATGATGCCATTGTTCCCTCTGACACAACTGAGTTATGTTTTGGATGAGAGTCACGGGCTTTTCGATTCTGTTCGATTTCAATTCTGCCATCTGATACGATATTGTAGTAGACAAAGCATTGGGTTGATGCATTTGTATATCTTGATAAATATTACTCACATATAAAGCAGAACCTTCAACGCTACTTATTAAGAATCCAAAAATAAAGACAGTAGCTGGATCTTCCCCATGGAAACAAATAAACTTTAAGAGATTCAAAACCCAACTCGCTTTACTCGTCTCAGGATTTGATAAGCAACAGGTCAGATTTGAAACGTGTGTCTTGAGAAAATGCAACAACGGAATTTCCGCCGCACCACCATAAGCACGTCTTTGGATCTCTAGTAACACTGAATCTAAGATCAAACCAGCAGCTGATTTAATCTAAAAAATAAAAAATAAAGTCATTAAAAACAATGTCTAAAAATTATGGTAAAATCTTTCTTTTTTTTCTCTCCAAAAGCTATACTCATTTTGAGAGATAGAAAATTAAACACTTTTCACAAACCTCAAAAAAATAAATAAAAGCACCCTTACCAATTTGTTTGAAGAACATTAATAATTACATGGAAAAAAAACAGAAATTGAGTAAAAAAAATATTTAATTGATCATCAGTGATCCCAAATGGGCAAAAAATGAAAAAAGTTAAAATATTAAGTCTTTGTATATGTGTCTGATGTAAACAGGTAAATTCATCCACCGTCGCATATATACTCCCACAAATAGCAAAAGATTATTTTTTGCTTTGTTTCAAGGGCGAATGTGATATAAACAAAACGTATGCCCGGGATAATCAGGGAGCTTGTTTTATTATTCTAAAGATATACTTACTCCAGCATGAATTTCAACATTAGAAGGTGGCATTATATTTAGCAAGCACCTAATCACTTGGCAGCCCCCATCACTGCGCAACAATAAATGCACCACTAGACTTGCAAGTCCCTCGGTACCAGGAATTTTGGCAGACTTCCACTTTTCAACCTGGCAATACATCTTGTTTAATACTTCAGGGTTAACTGAAAATCAAATTCACTTTTATATTATGTACATTTTGAAACAGTTTTTCACCATTCGTTTTAAAATATAATCAGCAATGAATCCAAGTTAACGCTTAATAGGATAAAGTAATAGGATAAAGCTTAATAGGAATGCATCCCGTTATAGCGAATTCCTAGGGATCGGAGCAATCGCTAAGCAATAACGAAAATTCGTAAGACCGAGATTTAGAATTTCCGAATTAACCAAAATTATTTTGTTACACTTATATATCTTCTGCATAAAAAAATAATAAATATTGCATTTAATTACAGTTTTGATCTATTTGTACTCCACGCCTAGAAAACCTCAAATCAATGTTTCAAAAGCTCACAAAAACATTCAAATTTAAAGGATCACTTATTCTAAATCAGAAATTTTGTAATTCTTTTTTTTCTCTTTATTTTGGAGACGCAAAAATACTTGAATTCTGAGATCATTGTGTACTTTTGAAGAATGGAAAAGATCACAAGAGAGAAAATGAGAATTGATGCTTATTTTCACCTTCGTTAAATAGGGTTATGAAATTCGTTATTTTTAATTCATTGTTTCTATGGAGATTCATTTGGGGATTCGGAAAATTTTCGGATTTCGCTGGATTTGACTGCATTCATTTTTATAAAATTCCATTAAACTTTTCACTACATTTTTACATCAATTTAAGATCAGGACTACGTAATTCTGAAAGGTAGTTTGGATTAGAGTTGGGTACTGATTTGAATCACTGAATTGATTCGAATCATCCACTTGCAACTGATTACAATGAGTTAATTTGAATCAGGATTGATCAAATCAGCTGATTTTATCAGAGTAGATTTAAATTATAATGAATTAAACTTACGTTTTGTTTCACAGTGATGTTGAGTCATATATATAAGGAAAAATTTCTTGTAAAACCTTAGAGATTCTTACGCAGTCATTAAAGGTCTTAAGATTTTCCAATCAAACAATTCCATCGATTCAGGATAACAATATTCATGCAAAAAAAACAGATAATGATTTGATCAGATAATGCAATGTGGTAAGTCTACACTAGGGGTACACAACCTGCGGCCCACCAACCCTTGATGTGCGGACCGCGGACGCAATCTGAACAAAATTTGGCAGGAAAAAAAATTACATTCGTTCTTTTTTTTTTTTTTTTTTTTTTTTTTTTTTTTTTTTTTTTTTTTTTTTTTTTTTTTTTTTTTTTTTTTTTTTTTTTTNTTGATCGCTATTTTTCATTGGTTAACGCTACGGATTTACGCTTAGTTTTGAAAATATCAATATCTTTCATACGTCATTATTACGATACACAAATTTCGAAGTTTAGTTATCACTTTTGACGCTCTTCGTGCAGTTTCCGAAATCGCGATTTATGTAAGTTATGAAACGCTATATTTGTGCAAACTTTATGCCAAATCTAAATGACTTCTGATCCTTTTTTTGGCAGTTATTGTGTGGCATTCTCGTAGCCGACATTTTCTCGTGGTTTTTAAAATTTCGATATTTAAGCACGATATTATTACGAATCATGAATAAAGAATCACTCATTTAGATAACCATTTTTTGACGTGATTTATTTATGCCGATTTTGTTGCAAATCAAATTATTTTTCAATCGTTGTTTTGGTAATTATCGCTACGCATTTCTACAATGTTTTGAAAGTCCCGATATTTTTTATACGCTATTGCGACACTTTAATTTCGAATCCCGCATTTAAATGCATCACTTTTTGATGCACTTCATTCAGACCGATTTCATCGTAAATATAAAGGTATTTTGATAGTTTTTTTGGTACTGATTACTACGCTTTCCCCGGGGATTTAAAAAAATTCTAATATTTTTTGTACTATAATTTGACAGCACGCGAGTTTTGAATCACGCATTAAAATAATTACTTTTTACGTGCTCTATTTGTGATAATTTTAACATAAATATAAAAAGGTTTTTTGAACGTGTTTTATTTTTTCTCTCCCGTAATTGCTGCCTTTTTTCTTGATTTTGAATATCCTGATATTTTAACACAATATTACAACTTGTGAAACTCGATTATATTTAAAAAAAATTTTGTAACTTTAAAAAATGTAATTACGTATCTCAGCAAAATCGACACCTTCTCGAAGAGAATAAAAAAAAAATAACGAGATGTGTAGATTTATATTAAACACTTTCCCTTTTGCAAAAAAATAATTCAGAACACTTGCCTATTACTTAAGTTCCGTAAACCCGTGCAAATTTTACAACACACACCAAACGTATTCTTTTTGTCACATGACTTAAAAATCATATATCGCTATTCTTATTTACGCATTTTAAAAATTATACGTTTTGATTCTTCTCGCAATTTAAATGTCACATATCGTAATTCGTATTTAGTGATCTTAAAATTACACATCGCATTAACATTAATGAGATTTAAAAAACATCCATCGTGATTCGTATTCACGAGATTTAAAATCACATATCGTGATTAGTGTTTTAAAAAATCCTACACGGTAATTCTTCTCGCAATTCAAAAATCATACACCGCAATTCATATTCACGCATTTAAAAAATCATGCATTGTGAGAATTCTCGCAATTTAAAAATCACACAACTCGGTTCGTATACCAGGGATGAAAGCAGTGCCGTAACTTCACCCTTCGGGGCCCTGGGGCTCAAATTTTTGCCGGGGCCCTTTGTAAAACTTTGTGTACTCCATCTCTAAACGTCATTTTAGCTACTTATGTATCATGTTGATTAATATATTCATGAAAATAAGTCACTTGTTCACATAGAAATGGGATTACAAAATATTGCAAGTTGTAAATTTAACACTAGAATGTAAAATGTTATATTTAAAAAAATTAATTTTTAATTACAAAACACAAATAAGACATCTAAAAATAATTACAAAACACATACTAAATACAGATTTTAAATGTATTTAATGGTTCCAGTTTGGTAGATAGATTTATACACTTAAGTTTGTTGATTATACATCAGTTTGCATTAAAATAAATGTCTAGAATAAAGATTTCATATTTAAAATTTTAGATTAGTTTCAGTTTTTGAAAAATATTTAAAGTAAATTGTAAAATAGATTTCATAGTAATAAA